CTAGATTTAATTCAGAAAATGTATAATATTCTAGTACTTAGTATGTCCTCCAGAACTTAAAGTATCTGCTCTGACCCTTCTTGGGCACTGAGTGTACAAGCTCATGACAAATTTTCACATCTGTGCTGTTTAACTTCTGGAGGACGACCTCCTTAAATGCCCTGGTCTTTAATGGGGAGTGTTGCTCAGCTCATCTCTACAGAATCCCCCACAGCTGCTCAAGAGCGTTAAGATTGAGTGAAATACATGTCCACTGAAGGATTTTCACCTTGGGAGAATGAATATATTCATTGTCATGCTGAAAAAATGCCCAATAATGCAGGGAATGAGGGGAGGGTAGCATCTTCAGTTTCAAGTTTTTGTATTACATACCACAGTGGTGTGTGAATTCATGCCAGCATTGATAAAGCACAACTCCCTCACACCTTCAGCACTTATTCATCCCTATATAAAAGCTTTACTACCACTGAACGTCACTGTGGGTACCAATCACTTCTCTCTATACTCCTCATCTAGCATCACCAGAACATTTTGGATGTTTTTGGATCCGAAATGATTGACTTGGTCTCTTGAGACCAGAGTATGGATTCCCAGAAGTCTCTATTTTGTAAATATGGGCCCTGGAAGAGGTTAAATGAGTTTATTTTGCTTTGGCTACAGTAGGTAATTCTAGTGGTGACAACAACCATGCATGTCACTTCTGCAGGCTGCGTCATACTCTGTGAGATAAAGTGTCACTCTTTTCACAGCTTTTGCCGGCTCTGAGACACATGCATGTTATTTCTCCTGCTCTTTTTCTAGCAAAAATTCACTCATTACTAAAAAGTGAAAACTTAAAGTGAAGACCTGATTATTTCAGGAGCCTTAACACAAGTCCATTGTTTTTGAATATTGGTGCTACTTCTGCTATATTTTCACACTTAAAACAATAATTTGGTATTCCTCTTGTACCATTGTCCTCTTTTATGCTAAGAAATAAGTCACCTGGCAGTTCTCTCTCAAGTGGTTCCACTGCTGCCAGCATTAAGACTGAATATGATTCAGTGGGCTATATAACACTTATTGTCAGGAAATTACTTGTCTTTAAAAATTTTGGTTCAATATACTTACCTGTTGATCAAAAATAACCTTAAACCTATATATTTTTTTTATTTAGTAACTTTCAGGAGGGTGTACTCATTTTTGCAACAACATTTTATCACTTTGATAAGAAAATCCTATTTTGCTGAATAATTTTGGCATTCTTCTTTGGTAATTGATCAAGCAGACTTGTTGGAACATTACATCTCCAAAGAACCCTATATATATATATAAGTAAAGAGTAATCGCTGAATATGTTAAGTTTTAGAGGGGGTGTACTCATTTATGCTGTGCACTGTATATTTTATTGCTGTGAAACGATTAATCGCGATTAATCGCATCCAAAATAAAAGTTTTTGTTTACATAGTATATGTGTGTGCACTGTGTATATTTAAATGAAATGCACTGTGTATATTTATTATGTATATATAAATACACACACATGCATGTACATATTTAAGAAAATGTTTACGTTTATATATTAAATATATTTATATATAAATTATATTAATATAAATTTATACATGAAAAATACATGTATATATATATATATATAACAGTATATACATAATAAATATACACAATACACACATATATTATGTAAACAAAAACTTTTATTTTGGATGTGATTTATCGCGATTAATCGTTTGACAGTTTTTTTCCCTCCTACATCTCATGTGCAGGGCTTCGTAGTAATTCTTTAAATATGCTCTAAGTATTTATTTTTTTATTTTTTTATATAGTTTTTATTACTTTTATACTTTGAATCAGTTTGCACATTCACAGGCCATCCCATACAGAAAAACGCAAGCTGTGAGCATACTAGTTAGCTGTTACCTTGGCTTGTGAGAGGCAATTTTACTAATGTTGCTTTAGATAGACATTACGTACTGTACATAAATAATCATTTGATACACATTATATGTATTTTACACAGCAAAAACAATTTATTTGACTAAAATTCCAGAATTGTTAGCTGACAATCTAGATGAATGTATTGTTTATATGGTTTTCTACGAATGGGACACTACATTTTATTCAAGCTAGCATTGACGAAATATTTTTCATACATTTTGGCTTTAATAAGATCTCGTAAACTCGGACTTATAATTACGGACTTATAGAAGTGGGAAGAAGGGAATTTCTGATATCACATGAAGCAGCATTATTTACTGGCTAAGTCTGGGGAAATTCCACAAGAGCTAACACCGCTAACTGCACTTTTAACCAAAGAAAATTAAGAAAAAGGTCATTTTCTTCTGGTTGTACATGCATGATATACCTCAATGTAATATTTAATAGGCAAAGGTGAACAAACTGTAGTTCCATTCATGTAAACTTATAAAACCACAATATATACACATGAAAAATATGATAATTATGATCCTACATAGATGTTTTATGACACATAAAAAATATTTTTATAAAAATAAAAATTATTCTGGACAACTGGTGCAAGTGGGAAAGCAAAAAAAAAAACTATCACTTAACTATTTCAGAAGTGCTTTATGAATATGCTATGAAGTTTGTCTCAGGGACAGCAAAACTCAGGATAAGAAATAATGAGTGTTTTCAGTCTCAGCGAACCAACAGTCATGCAAAAAGGAGGCCAAGGTGAGTATAAATAGCCAGTGTTTAGACAAGGATTTATCAGTAGGTCTCACAGAGGGACCCAGAAATAGAATCGTGAACAGATAGTAAACATGTCTCTGCAAAATACCTCCCCTGTACATGTGATGACATGTACCACATGTCACGTATCAGCCAATAAAACAACTTAAACTCAAACCTAACTCCATACGGGTTTTCCATTTTGGGTGAATTGTTCTCATTGTTTAAACCTATGCTCTAAGTTTAAAGTATAATTATTGCATGTCATTCAGAACATAGGTGTAGATAAGGGGGATGTTAGACAAACCCAAACGTTCCTCACCTGTAGAGAGAAGGGTCCCGTTTGAGGATGTCCATGTTGATGTGCTGCTCCATCAGACTGTAGAGGAGGATGGGTAATGAGGTGAAGCTGATATTGTACAGGGTCAGATATGCTGTGTCATACAGTGGCTGCAGAGGGACAAAAACAATTAAACCAGTTTGCTATTGTTGCTGTAATCAACCGTTAAGTTCAGTGTAAGCACAGAAGAGAAAGTTTTTTCTCTTAACTACATGCACTTTCATGTTCCAGGTGTTATTTTAAACATCTATTTGAAATGCAGTCTAATTGTGATGGACCTTTGAGATATTTTAAAAAAGGAAGTTTACCTGCTGAGAGAACCCACAGAAGAACTGATAGAGAAACTGAGGGAAGATGAAGCACACATTCTATGGAGAGAAAACAGAACCTCAGTACCTGATGAACTAAACCCTTTAGATGGTTTGTTAGTGTGTGTGCGTGTGAGAATTCTGTTTGCTAGCGCTGCATTAGAGTTGCATTTTCAACAAGATTGTTTAGTGGTTTAGTCTGAACTCCTGGGAAAAAAGTAGCATCCACACATATTAAGCAAAAATTTTTCTGTGTTTATAACCGCAGGCAATGTTGTTTGTGCTGTGTCAGCTAGCAATCAGCTATTTTGCTTGAGATTATCTTTTTTATTTTGTGTGTCTACACATTTTGTTTGTTTGAGTTCACCTTATAGAAGAAGTACTGGACCAGCTCAGCGATTCTGATGTAGTAGTAGTGCCCGTGAACCAGCAGCATCTTCTTCAGGTGTTTGAACTTGGTAATTGCATAGTCGCTGTTACGGGCCGCCTGACGCCCCTCTTTACCCATGATCCCTAGAGGCAGAATAACCAGTCAACAGGCATGTAAGATATTGCCGACATAGTTGTTGAACAGAAGTCTATAAGAGAATTACTTCCTGGAGAAGTAATAACTTCGAAAAATATTTGCTTTTGTCTGCGAGCATGAAATCACCTATGCCCACGTGAGCTTCCAGAATCATACTGACATCATTGGCTCCGTCCCCGATGGCCAGCGTGATGGGGTGTTCTTTTGATGCTTTTATCAGCTTAACAATCTGAAAGAACAGTTTCCACAGGTCAAATCAGAACGGCTGAGAGATTAGATTATTAAGCAGGGTTTTTGGCTGTTTATGTGACTGAGGCAATGGGATAATATCCTATCTATCCTTTGTCATATGAAGAAAATATTGATTTTGCTTTTACACATGAATTGCATGGGATTTTGCTGTTCGTTTCACATCAATAACTGTCTTGTAATGCTGTGAGTTCTCTCACTTCTTGACTTTACAGTCTCTGGTTTTCCCAGAAGCCCCAGAGAGTGACTGACAGGTTTAGTGTGCAGTAAATGAGAATGAGAAAGAGACCAGATTCTCTTTTGATTGCACCATGTAACTCACAGGCTGAGAGATTACAATAAGAGAACAAGGACAACCTTTCTCTGGCAGGTAGCTGTGTTAGTGTGAGTCAGGTTTTATCACCATTGTGGGGACCAAATGTCCCCAAACAGACACCAAGACCTTAAATCACCCTTAGTCAATGGAACCCACAAAGAAAATGGCTTAATACACATGCCAAATAATGATTTAATGAAACATTTCAGATATCAGATTGCACAAAGAAATATGCCAATATGCATTCTAAAATAAATAAATACTTTTATTCAGCAAGGGTGCATTAAACTGATCAAAAGTGACAAAAAAATTATACATTATTCAAAAAAAATAATCTATTTCAAATAATTTAAAAAATAATTTACTTTGAAATTTTCTATTCATTAAAGAATCCTGAAAAAAAGTATCATGGTTTCAGTGGTTTCAAAGAAATGTTTCATATAATAATATAAGAATGGTTTCTGAAGGATCACGTGACACTGACGATTGAAAATTCAGCTTTGCATCATAGGAATAAATTACACTTTAAAATATATTACAATAGAAAACAGTTTTTTTTATGTAATACTATTTCACAATAATATGTTTTACTGTATTTTTGATCAATTAAATACAGCCTTGGTGAGCATAAGAGACTTATTTCCAAAAAATACAAATCTTACATCTTACCCCAATATTTTGAACAGTAGTGTATACTCTTTGAGACTAACGTGCTGTAGTACCTGTGCTTTTTGTAAGGGTGCCATGCGACAGCAGAGAACAGCGCTGCAGTTCCTGCAGATTTCCAGGAAAATCTCCTTGTAGTTCCCTCCGTTGCTGGTTCCTTCCTGTGTTGGTTTCAGTACAGCTGACAGTGTTGCCCCATCGATTATCAGACCATAGTCTTGGTAATCATCTGAGAGCCTGTGGGACCGACACGTATGTGTGAAGGTGTCTGCGCGTGTAAGCATCTATGTGAGCATGTAAATGTATTCCACTGTACCCACCCTGAAAAAATGTCCCTGGTCATGCTGCCATGCTGTCTCAGGACAGTTCTGCTCAGATCAAACAAGACGTCATGGAGACTCTGCTCCTCTGTCCGCTTGGTTGTCAGTTCCAGGATCTGTGTATTGCGATGGAACAACTTGCTAGCATAGCACGTGGCTGCTGCTGTCTCCATTTTGTCCCCTGTGAGGACCCAAACCTTCATACCAGCCTTGTGCAGGGACTCAATGGTGTCGGCTGCTTTATCCTGCAGCCTGAAACATAAAATGATATCCAAGAACATTTCAAGAGCAGCTCATGTACACAATTAACACAATGTCTGTATAATGAGCCAAATTGGGTGCTTATTTACAAAAAGAACCTTAGCATGATTTGCCTTAATTAATGACCAATCCAACCCTAACAAATGTTGACAATCGCCATATTACCTTTCTAATGTACGTTTCTTGAGCTGCAAATCAGCATATTAGTATGATTTCTGAAGGATCACGTGACATTGATGACTGGAAAAAAAAACATTTGAATATATATATATATATATATATATATTTTTTTTTTATATATTTTTTTTTTTTACCACATTATTTCAAAATATTACTGTTATAAATTTATTTTTGATCAAATAAATGCAGCCTTGGTGTGCATAAGAAATATCTTTCAAAAACATTAAAAAATCTTACTGACCTCAAACTTTTGAACTAGTGTAAAAACAAACAGCAGATAAAATTCTTTCCAATGTCACTATTTTTCAAGCTCACATAAGGAAAATTGTAATACAATTCCTTTACCGTTTAATTGAAAAACTTGGAGGTGGAGTTTAACATTGAGTCAATTTTAAATAACTATTTTTACAAACAAATTAAGTTAATCTGTCATACTTTGACATAAATAGCAGCTCCTATCATATACAAAGTGACAATTACACAATTGTTACTTTGACAGCCCAATTGCCTCCATTGTATAGTAGCAGCATCAAGATTTGGCATAGTATATAGCAATCCTGTGTGCTTTAATCTTTGCGCAGTGCTGGAGTGAAAGTTAATGGACAGTGCTCTGCATGGCTCGGTGGCGGGGAGGTCTTCTACCGCAGTGTGATGTCTCAGCTCACTTCACTCAGTAATTAAGCAGCCCAGTAGTCAGGATTCACAGTGCCACTGCTGCCAGATAATTAAGACTCCACCCCCCACTGCACCTCACTCACAGCCCAGCGACGCAGGAAGTGACATTCTCACAAAGACTCCCGGGAAGAAACCACAAGACCTTCTATTACACTACCTATTAAACATTCTAATAACATGAATTGCATTTGACTTAACATCATTCTATTGAAGCTAAACAAATTCCTCAAGTTAAGCAACATTCTAGTTGAGTCATAACATTCCTTCTGACTTCCCCAACATTCTATTTGGCTCCCTATTTTAAAATCTTGGCTTAAAGTTGACATGAAATCAGATTTTATGTTATATGCTTCCTTAAATACAATTTCCTGGCCTTATTGTGCATGATTAATGTACTTCATCTGAAAAAAAAGCACTGTCTTCATAATAACATGCTCTGAAATGACTTTGCTTTGCAAATGATGTCACCTAGGCCAAGTGGGCCGGGAAAACAATGTAACCCAATTGCCAAATAGCCATTCAAGGCATCATATTAGGCTGCTGTTAGCGAATGCAGCCTTTCTAAAATCTTGGCAATAGTTAACAATAATTTAAGTAATTCAAAGGCAGTTAACTTCAATGTAACGTTGATTATATCCTCTCTACAATCCACTGCAGCCCTACATTCAAGTAAGGCTCTATTCTGGTTTGAAACATCCACTTTTCTCTTGTCCTTCTTTTCTTGTTGAATATCCTGTTGTGCTCTCAAATACAGTCCTTGCAGTGACATTTACAGAATTTTTGTGGGCGAAATCCAGTCAATTCTGGATTTCAAATGAAATGATGATGGATTTCGCAACAAGTTAAAGTTGGTAACACAATTTTGCTGTGTTGACCATCAGAAAGCTGCTTGGTTTGAAAGTGACTTCTGTGTGAGCTGTGCATTATACATTGCTACACTATTGGCAATTGGACCTTTTTGCCCACAAAATTTTGTCAATGTGACTGCACATTTACGGAGGTAAAATGGGTTGCCATGGCCATTTCATGTAAGCTAGAATGTTTCAGGGATTCTGTTTAAATAAAAAACAAACACATTACAAACAGTCAGCGTTGCCCCTTATCAAATTAGCTCCCTGTATATTTGACTATAACACATGATCTTGAGTGACGTCTTGGAGGCACAAACAGGCTGGTACCTAGAGGGCACTGATTGCATCTAATCAACACTGCCTGACAAAATAAGTTCCCGTCCAGTAATCACTATTTGTTTGCTCTGTTATCTTCATTGAGGCGGTCAACATGGATTGATGTGTTTATTTATAACATTAGGGTGAATGGCCTCCATAAGTGCATAAGCCAAAACAGTAGTTCATCAGAACCGTGTCTGCCGGTTGCCGATTGATTCAAGAGGGGGTCTAATTATGTTAACTGCTCATTATCAGGACACTGGAGCCTAACGGATGGACTCTATTGATTGCCTATGCAATTAACGTTAACTCACACTGGTTCTGTCAGGGCCGTGGGTGCTTACGAGTGCTTCAAACGGACGCTGGACCTGCAACTCTTCCATCCAGTTGTTCGGCCGATCAGAACCTTGGCGTTCAGCCAGTTAACAATCTAATATTGCTAATGCACATCCATTCTCCATTTCACTTCAGGGAAATGCACCTTGCTTATTTAGGCAAATGCATAATGCACTTTATGGAAAACATAAGATATTATTAACATGTCGATATTTTTACAGCAACATGCAACTTGGAAAGCAATATCAGACTTGCTCAGAAATGCATCGGATGTCATGGTTCCATATTTCGACACGATGGGAGTTTTTGATGGCGTAGTGGGCAGGAGTGAGAGGGAATGAGGCCCTAATTCTTAGTACTGAAGGGTAATCTGCATATTCACAGATGAATGACTTTAAGTGATGCTACCATAACAAACAGCCTGAAAAAAATGAGCTTCCCTGATTCTCTACAGTGACTCCTGTTTAGCTACAAACTTGTAAATTGCTGTACAGTGGAGTCCAAAAATCTTAAGCTACAATGAAAATATGGGATTCAAAAACGAATTTAAACCTTAAAATAAACAGAAAATGTTTCAAATGAAAAAAATTCGCTCTAAATTATTCACACGTAATTTGTTTTAAAAAAAAACTAAAATCATGCTGAACAGCAATACTAAGAATTTTTTCAATTAAAATGTTCTTCTCAAGTTATTATTCACATACCATTTGTTAAAAAAAACTATCTCAAATCATGCTGGAAAACAATAAGAATTCTTTCAATTAAAATTTTCCTGTTTCCACTGGTGGTCTCAGACATTTTGATTTGCATTCTGGATTTGACTAGAGAAGACTGAACGTGAAATTCCACTCCATCAACTTCTGCAAAGTCCTCAACTTTGAAATCGTAAGTTTGATTCACTTCAGAAGAAGAATTTTCAGTCAAGTCAATCAAACTAAGATGGTATTTGTGGTATTTGGTAAATGTTAATCAGGTTGACTGTGAGTCAGGAGGCAGTGATTCACCTATCTTCCACAGCCGTGGCTCCCAGCAGGATGAAATCCTTTTCAATGACATCATAAGCTTCAGCCAGTTTCTTGTCGCGCTCCCGCAGAGCTAGTTTAGCGCTGTTGAGGAGATGGCATGTTTCCTCATACTCCTCATGAGTCAGCTTCTTATAAGCCACACAAAGAGTCCGTAAGCCCTCCTACAGCGGAAAGATTTGAAACAAAAATGTCAGCTTAGCCTGCCAGGTCCATTTATTTAATAAAAGAGCCAAAATTCAACTCCAGAATTTATTCTTTATCCTAAAAAAAGAATTAATCTAGGATAGAACTAAATATATGTTTAACTCAGAATAAACATAACATAAAGGAAAGAATAATACCTGTGCTAAGAAAAGTGAAAATGTTGGCATTATTTACTCACCCTCGTATTGTTCCAAACCAGTGACTTTCTTTCTTCTGTGGTACAACAAATGGAGATATTTTAAAGAATGCTCCAGTGGATGCTGTGGATCCACAGGATGTCAAGCTCCACCATGGAATAAAATAAAAGGTAATTGACTTAGTTTATATCTCATGATTGTGAGTTAACATCTCGCAATTCTGGAAAAAGTCAGAATTGTGAGATAAAAAGTTGTAATCACGTTTTCAAATTTCTTTTTATTCCGTGGCAGAAACAGGCTTCCATATAAGCAACATAAAAATAGCCCATATGAATGTCAAATGTTTCTTTTTATGCAAACAAATTTTTCATAAGATTTCTTTGTCTTATTTTATATCCACTGGGCACTGTCTGCTTTTGATGTATGCAAAAAAGCAGTGTGAACATTTTGCAAAATATCTCATTTTGTGTTCCATATAAAAAAGAAAGACATACTGGTTTAGAACGACATGGGGTGAGTAAATAATGACACAATTATCATTTGTTGTTTATCATTATCCCTTTGAAATGTAGATTATAAAATGACAAAAATGCTCCAGCAGAAAAATTCCCATTAACATTATTTATAAAACACTACTGATAGAACTGTCCGTTTTGGCTCCTTCAGACAGTCTTGAAAACAAAGAGACAATTTTGTCTGTCTCTACAGAAACGTTTTTCACTATGGCTACCAGAGTCATGAATCAGCACAGACGCCAATGCAACCAAACCCTTTTCTAAAGTGATGTCATTCCTGACCCAGATCTGTGAGTAACACAATGAAGTAACATAGAGCTGTGTTAATCTATGACATTAGATCCATTCCTCATGTCTGGGACCATAATTATATTATTTTTCTGCAAGTGACTTCATATATTTGTCAAGTTTAAGATAATTATATTCATTAGATTATGAAGAGCAAAAAGTACAAATGACTTCTGGGTGCTACAGAGACATTAAACTAATAACGGTTGTTTATAACACTCATCTCTCTTATGAAAGCTAATGAGATCAGTGTTGGGCCGCAGTGTGAGAACACATAAATAGAAAGACAACAGATACATTGTCTTTGCTCTTTCTATTTTTCTCTTTAATTTTCAGTGATGTTTAGGTACTTTCCTCTTTCAGCTCTCTTTGAGGATGACATTCATGCTAAAGAAAAGCTGCACAAGCAAACACATTTGAGAGGAGCTTTTTTCCATCAAGATCTAGGAAGGTGCTTTTGTGGCTTATAAATAGCTCTGCTAAAATAAGAAAGATGATGAAGATGTTTCCAATTTTTGCTCACCACAGCGTTGTGCTCTACTCGCGCTCTGACCTGCTCCAACTTTCCAGAAACCACCCGTGGGAAAACAGAAGAATCTGCACCTTTACAGAACAAATAGTACTCTCCTAGAACAAACAAACAATTATCAACACAAATAAAGTGTTAACAGCTATAATAAAGAAATTGTACAACCACCAGTGTGTCATGCTTTCAATACATTTATAATATGTAAAGCAATATTTTTTTATTCATTCATGCTTAAGGTCAACATGAAATCAAAACTAACCTATTTGCCTTTGATATTTTATATTTTTTATCCTGTTCCCCTCTGAAATGTATCATAATACGATAGTAAAATGGGTCACAAACGTTGTTTCATGTTGACTTTAAATTAGCACATTAGTTATACTGTCAGGCTCTCAATGTATTCAAGAATATCCTAATTGATTTTTATATTAAAAGATAAGTTATCAGGTCAGTTGTGTGTGACTGAATGTATTCATGAATCATACAGATGTCTAAATCTTGCTCTCATTTGTATGCTAGTAGCACATTGACCCACTTGCATTAACTGGCCCCTTCATTTGGGCACACATGGTGACTCAGACACTTTCAGTGGAATGTGTAACAGTCACTTGCAGTTCCAGAATGAGTGTGCATGTGTGTGTTTACTCAGCAATGCTTTGAGGGCAAAATTATCCCCAGACGTTAGCTAAATCCCTTGTTCTCAGATGGGAAAATCATTCATAAATAAACGGAATTATGGCTGCCAATCTCATAAATCGTATTACAATTATTACATGACATGCAGATTAATCAAATCAATTACAATTAATTGCACATATCAATATTTGCAGAGATCATTCAAAGACATTATAACTCTCAATAAATAAATAAATAAATTGATTAATTAATTTGTAAAAAATGCAATTAACATACTAGTCAAGGGGCATGATTAACTGCTGTATTTTTTTAGCACATTTTAAATACTTAATCACACATAATTTAACATGTTAAACTGATATAATAAGCTTTCTTTAGGGCAATAATTAATTATACATAATTATACATAATAATTATAATTAGATTTATGTGTCCTCATTTAAATTGCCAAGTAAATATGTGTGTGTGTGTGTGTGTGTGTGTGTGTGTGTGTGTGTTTGTGCCTACTTAATTTTGGGGATACATTTGTACCCAGAAGTCAGCTAAATCTGACTTTAAAAAAAAGAAAAATCTCCTTTTGGGGGATGTCCATATTTGTAAAAAGCAAAGTAAATATTTAAAAATAAAGTAAATAAAGTTGTTGTTTTGTTTTTTTTGTAAAACTGCATAAAGTTTTCTTTTAGGTCAAGGTGTGGGTTAGGGTTAGGTATTTATATCTAACTCTATATAAAATCAATAGATGTCTATTGAATGTCTCCATTTAGATAGCTAAGTAAAGTGTGTTTGTTCATCCTACCTGAGCTCGATCTTACAATAACACTCATTCTCCTCCTCACTGAATCAAAGTTCAACACCTCCAACAGCTCAAATCTGGGAAGAATAAACACAAATGCACACAAAAAGACAACGTTGCAAGTCTTTAGATTTAAAAGGTTAATGGATCTATTAATTATTATCTATTAAATTATTAATTATCTCCTTTGGGATACATCTTTATCACAGACAAACAGACAGACAGAATTTTCATGTGACTGCGCTCTGTGCTGACCCTCATGTTCTCGGCTGTAGGACAGTGTGTAGCTGCACTAATTATGGTCCTTGTCCTTCAAGGACACACACACACACACACTCAGTCAGTCAGTCACTCCATCTCACAAACACCAGTCCTTTTACAACATTCCCTAAACAGAGGAAATTCACTGCTTCCCACAACATACACCGTATAACGGTGTTACTTTAAAAAACACACAAATACATTAATATGACAACCTGCTGAGTAAATACACAGATGATTACAGATTAGGCTGAGCAAACTGTTCCTTTGCTGAGGTTTCTTTCTCACACAGCATGTGGCAAAATACACAGTATGACAAGAAAATTAAAGCTGCAGTCACCACAGGGGGTTTAAGCAGCCCTGCTAGTGGTTTGGTGCCTCCATTTGGAGGATGTTTTTCTTAGTTTTGTATTTAAAGGAATGCAGCAAAAGGGTCAGGGCGATTCTGTAGCCAGAATGCCCGTAGTACAGAGTATCTCCACATACTCTGTACTATGTATTTTTCTAATACATCTAATATATGTAATCTCAGATATGCATTTTACTCTTAGATTCGTCTTTGAGAGTTTGATGTCTTGTATTGATTTGATATCGTTGAATTGGCTGTGGAGATAATTGGCATAATACATATTTACCTGACTGATAATAAATTGTTACATTTAATTCATTCTGACTCACTCTGAAGTTATTTTCTCAAGTAGATTAAGTGAAGGCGTATGTTTCCGCAAATCTGCGACCAGGGTTAAGTGCACATTAGATCTCAGGAGATGAAGCATGGGGCGCATCAGGTGAGATTCTAAATTTCTGACTAACCGCTTGACCTTAGTTTAAGTTGTACTCAGTTACGTTAACCATGTGTATGATTTCAGCTTTAATTAAGTTGTACGTGGTTATAATAACTATCGGGGTCTAGACTAAGGGTCTAGAAGAACCGCTGATTAATATTTGGAGTGTTAATTAAGTTGTACGTGGTTATAATAACTATCGGGGTCTAGACTAAGGGTCTAGAAGAACCGCTGATTAATATTTGGAGTGTTAATTAAGTTGTACGTGGTTATAATAACTATCGGGGTCTAGACTAAGGGTCTAGAAGAACCGCTGATTATTGTTGAGCATTACATGGGTAATTGTAGGGGGCTAAACAAACCTAAATAGCATTAGCCATAAACCTCTGAATAAGGATCAAACTGGCGAGTTTTGTGATCGTGGAGCCCACGCATAGCGTGAGGCATCCTAAAACGACATAGATTCCTAGTGAACGAGAAAAAATACAAAGTAAAGAGTTAATTAGAATAATCGAATGTAAGAATAATCAGAGACCGACAAACAACCAATGTGCCTTTCAACCTAAATTAGAATTCAGATACTAAAATGGAGTCAGATTGAGTTAAACCTAAATTGAATAACTCTGCGCGCTGAAAAGACCGAACACGCAAGAGACCTTCATCCGCCACTGGGTACCTTCCTTGGACCAGGTGCGCGGACCTTACAGTTTGGTATGAAACTAAAAGCTTGTTTGTAAATTCTATATGAAAAAAAAAAGTAAAATGCATAAATGTTACACACACACACATATACTATATATATATATATGTGTGTGTGTGTGTGTGTGTGTGTGTGTGTGTTCTATTCATTTTTCATTTTTTACTGTTACATTATTCTGTTTATTTTATTATTATAAAAAAAATACTATTAACAATTATTTATTTTTTTTAACTATTTTATAGTAATTTTACCTTTATAATTTTTTTTTTATTAAAAATAATTATAAAATAATTTATGGTAATAATCTATATTTAACATATTAATACATGTAGTTTAAAAAAAAAAATTTTAACTATACTATAAACATTTTTTTAAAGTGTAGCAAGTAAAATTGCGGGTAAAACCACTTTCTCAGTAACTACTAACTGTACAAAAATGCTGCTAGTTTCCTGTTGGTCATTGCGCTCATGCTGTTTTCCAGATGGCTCACCTCTCCATCTCATCCTGTCTGTTAAGGATCTCCATGTGACTGTCCTTCAGACGGAGATAGGTGAAGCCCAACCTGAACAGGTGAGAGAAAGGGAAAGCAAACTTAGTTTGTTATTGTGATGAAGGGTTAGGTTTAGACATAACAGTATGTACAGCAAATTAGAAAATGGTAATTATAAAGTTTGGACTGTTTTGGCACAAAAATGAAATAAAAAATGTATATAGTGAGAGTGTTATGCCATCCCAAACTATGACACAGTATGTCAAAACCTGGAGGCTAGAGTATAAATTATCGTGGGTCTGTGTGAGTGCATGTTTTCATGTGTGAGTGTATGTATGTACAGTATGTGTCTTGCCTTTTCATGCCCTCCACCAGTGCAACCTCATCTGGAGAGGAGGAGATGTAGAAGGAGGTGGATTTGCCCTGATAGATTCCTCTCTTAATGCCATCCACTGTCTCCTCTTCCTTCACCTGGACTGTGTGACAGAGGCACAGTGCACGGAAAAACAGCTCCTCTCGCTCCTGATGAGACACACATGTACACTTTTGCACTGAAATTTCTGCACACAAAACTGATGCAGCTGTGAATTTGCTCCAATATGTTTACGCTTCATTCTTAAAGGGGTCATATGATGCGATTTCAAGTTTGCCTTTCTCTTTGGAGTGTTACAAGCTGATTGTGCATAGATAAGATCCCTGAAGTTGCAAAGACTAAAGTCTCAAAACCAAAGAGATATTCTTTATCAAAGTTAAGACTCTGCCATGCCCCCCTAAAACGGCTCATTCTAACACGCCCCCACATATCTACCTCACTATGTGGAAATATTTGCATAATGCCGCCCAAATGTGCACGCAAAGAAAGAAGGCGTGGTTTCAGTAACTGCAGTTAGTGTTGAAGCAGCCATGTCAGGGAGATGCTTTAAGATTACTTACAACAGAACAGCAATGCATTTTATGGACGACCGTTTCGTGAACCTAGGAGAGGAGGTAATTCTGACTTTGCTATGACAATCTGGCGCTTCTGAATCAGCTACTGTTTTGTTATTAGTTTAAGTATTTGCTATTGACTGTTCAAACGCGAAGTTTTGCGCATCGTGTGTGTGTGTGTGCATGCTTGCGAGCGAGCGTGTGTGTGAGCGAGAGAGAGAGAGCGCCAGAGAGAGGGAGAGGGAGAGAGAGAGAGAAAGAGAGCACGCGGGAGAGAGAGAGAGAGAGAGAGAGAGAGAGGGTTTCTGTTACACCAAATACACAAAATAATGATCTTTAAAAAAGCATCATATGACCCCTTTAAAGCAAAAAGACTTTTTAAAACAGTAAAATATTAAATGTAATAATAGTATGTAATGGCATGAGACAATTCAAGCATCACACACACACACACACACACACACACACACACGCACACACTATTTCCCTTTACTTAAGAGCGAGTCGTCTCAGTGGAAAAGAATCATTCATCTGTTTCCTCACACTCCAGAAGAAAGGAAGATAGAGAGACTAACAAAAAGAGATTAAGTGACAGAGACAGAGAGACAAAAGGACAAAGAGGGGCTATCTGTGTCTAACTAAAAATGCAGTCAATACTCATGTATCCAGTAAATATTTGGATATATTTGATACAAGCAGGCATTAAAAATCTCAACAGTGAACTCTGATATTTCACTTTATTATGCACACAATATCATTCTTACAGAAACTATTTTGAATGGACAAACTGAGTTTATCCAAATTTATGAACTGTTATTCATAAAAATCACATTCAAAAGCACAACTGACTAGATTTGATGGGAAATTTAACAAGTTAACAAATTCTTTAATAGATGTTTTAGCTAATCTGTTAATTTAATGTGTCACGTTGCTCTAAGCTCATTCATCAGAGATAAAATTAGAATCCATCCATCATTCCACCCATCCACAGCTAAAATATTCATGCAAAAACTTGCCTTTGTGATGATATGATTTATCTGTGCAATGAAACATAACTCGCAGCTCATAATAACACGTTCATTCTCTCATTGACCAAAAGTTTTTATAGCTTCTTTAGCTTCTTTTATCAAATGTATACAGTGGCCCAAAATGTATCTGGAGACTTAAGTCACACTTAATAATGATGAAATGTCATGGTATTAGACGAAAAACATGAATTTATCAATTATTTTCAATAAAGATGAGGGAACTTGAGGTGAACAGACTTTGTAAATTCACTAAAATTACCAGATGTTTAAAAGAAAGAAAAAAAAATAGAAAGGTCAAATTTGTTAGATGTGATATTTGGTTTTTATATATATATATATATATATATATATATATATATATATATATATATATATATATATATATTATATATATA